TGTGCCAGCCAGAAGAGGGTGTCTGATCCCTAGGAACTGGAATTACAGATGATTGTGAGCTGCCATTTGCCTACTGCTCAGGTCTTTAGAAGATTGGCAAGTGCTCTTAACTGCTAAGTCACCTCTCCAGCTAACCTCCTAGTTTATAAAATAATATTTATTATTTATTATTCTGTGTGCATCAGTATTCTGTGTGCTTACAGGTATTCCTGTGTATCGTGTGTGTGTGCAGGGACCAAACAGAATGTTGGATATCTTGGAATGGAAGGTGCAGATGTCTGTGAGCCAGTGTGGGTTCAGGGAACCCTCTATATTACTAATTTTTATTGAAGTATATATTCAAAACTGCCAGTGTCAGTAAATGTACATTTGATTTCCTATCTATAACATCTACTCCTATTCAAGTAAATTCTATAACACCACAATTTTATATATTAGTATTAAATTATTTTTAAAATGAAGAAAGATAAAAATTAATTTTCAGCCTGGCAGTGGAGCCATATGCCTTTAATTCCAGCACTCGGGAGGCAGAGCAAGCAGGTCTCTGTGAGTTCAAGCCCAGCCTGATCTATAAAGCTACACAGAGAAATCCTGTCTTGAAAAACCAAAAAGAAGGCGGGGGGGGGGGGAGAAAGGAATTAATTTTCCTCCATACCTTAGCTTACCACATATTTTCTTTATTTTAGATATATTTTTGTGCATATAATTCAAATGCTGTATCTGTAGTTCTTTTTCTTTTTGCTCAGTGCTGCCCATGTTGAAACTTAATTTCCAGTATGATAGTATTGAGAAGTGATACCCTGGGCTGGAGAGATGGCTCGGCAGTTAGGAGTACTAGCTGCTGTTGCAGAGGACCTAGGTTAATTCCCAGCTTCACAACCACCTGTAATTCTAGTTCCTGGAGATCCAATGTTCTCCTCTGATTTCTATAGGTACTGTGCAAAATGTGTACAGACATGCACTCAGGCAAAAGTCCTATATACATAAAATTTTTAATTTAAGTAAAAGAAGTGGCACCTTTAGAACGTAATTAAATTATGACAACAATAGCAGTAGCATGGCTTGAAGATACATACTAACAAATAGTGCACTCGTGTGCTTGTGCATGAGTGCATATACACATGTGCACACACAGTTTTCTTGTAACTGATGTAAAGAATTATTTTTAAAAAGGCCTTGAGAGAGTTCATTCATTTCTGTTCTTCTACTATGAAGGCACAGTATTCATCCTTTAACCCACTTTCAATGTTTCTGCCTGGCCAGGCACCAAATACCAGTGTCTTAATCTAGAACCCCCACCCCAGCCTTTGGAACAATAAGAAAATAAATTCTTGCCTTTTCCCTTCTTTGTTTCCTTTTTTTGAGGCAAGGTATTACACTATATGTGTTAGCAATCCTCCTGCCTCAGACTCCCAAATTTGAGGATTTCATCATGAGTCACCACATTCAGTTTATAAGTTTGTTTTATAAGTTATTTTGCAGCATTAAAAACATATGCCATTTTATGCATTTAACTTGTGTAACTTATTATGTCTATTTGACTTGCTTCTAGTGTTATTAAACAACTTTCGATGCTTCCATCACTTACCACCTTTGAATCATTGATTGATAAAATTAATCATTTCTGTTCTATCCAGAAAAATTCACTTTTTTTTCAGTTGTGAACTATAGCCTTCTATAGCCTTTAATGGCTGAGTCATCTCTCCAGCTCTATTTTTTTTTATGTGTATGAGTGTTTTGCTTGCATGTTTTTCTGTACACTAAATGTATGTCTGGCTCCCACAGAGGCCAGAAGAGAGTGTTAATCTCCTGGCAGTTATAGACTGTTGTGAACCATCATGTGGGGCCTGGGATCTGAAGCCTGGTTCTCAGCAAAAGCAGCAGGTGTTGTGTACAAGAGGGCAGCATTAATTAAAGAGAAATAGAATAGGTTCCCTGAAAGAAATGCACTATTATTTAGGTTTCAAGGAGTATTTGGACCTTATTAGGCACTTGTCTAATATGGTAAGACCCAGGTCATTTCAACAAGTGAAAGAACAGATAAAATACAGGACACCATGAAATACCATGGTTTTTACAGGAGTTTGTAAGATTTAGTATTGTTGATTCTTTTAGGGAAAAAAAAGATAAGAGGTAAGAGCAATGAAGGGATGAGATCAAAGAAATAGGAACATCAGTAATTAAAAAACCACGTCTCTAACTTTGTGTAACCAAACAAGGAAAACTAGTGATGCGCGCATGACAGCAATATGGAAATAGGCTGGAGGGATAGACACAGAGGAAAATGATCAGTGGGACAGATAACATAGCTCCGAAAAGACATCCCAAGGAAATAAGCAATGAAAGACTAGAAAGGAGAGTAGATACAAAATAAACACTGTGCAAGTCTGCTGGGTCTGTCTATTAACACAGAAAGAAATGCGTTTGTCCCGTTATCACGGAATAACTACATCTTTAAGTAGCAACATGGATGTAACTTACAAGCAAACTTTTAAACAAATGAACTAAGTCCTTGAATACTATCCAAAGAAAGTTCCAAATTTTGGTGAGTTTTGTAAGCATTCAAAACTAAAGAATACTATTTATTCACAATGTGAACATGGTTGTATATTTATTTATTTTTGCCAAGTAATTTTAAAATTACAGGCAAACTTTAATATTATCAAAAAGACTCAAAAGGTTTTTTTCCTTTATGGTAGAAAATGATCTTTACTTTTGTTACTAGAATTGTTCCAGGACTAAAATACATCAATCAATCAATCAATCAACCAATCAATCAAACCAGGAGAGAACAGAGGTTAGTGTCAGAAATAAAACAAATCACACATGGTAAGAGGGTGTTAGTGTTAGACACTAAACTCTATGCAGCACTTGACATAAAGTAGTTTGCCCTTTCTGCTGCTCAAATTTCCTGTTCCATTTCTATAGCTGAGGATAATGTTAAAACATGACATTGATGCCATTTTCCAAGCAAGGGCACAAGGACTAGCAAGAAAATAGAATTTGCATTTCTCTGGATAACCCTGTAAAAATCTGTTTCCTTCATGTTAATAAGACTCAAAAGTTTTAAAATATAGTATATTTTTTAATTCTATGAGAATTTCATACATAGCCTCAATGTATATTTTAATCATATTCATCTTTTACTCCTCCTCTAAGTCCTTCCACTTTCATGTCCTTTTTGGTTATTTTTGTTTTTTAAACAACCCAATGAGTCCAGTTTGTGCTAATCATACATTCATGGTTGTGGGGCCATCGGCTGAAGCACTGTGGCCCACAGCCTTAAAGAAAACTGACCCTTTTGACCCCAAAAGCCTTCAACTTGTCAATAGCACTTCAGTTAGTGTTTGGGACTCTTAAATAAGCCCCCTCCCCAATGCTGGAATGCGATCTTGTACAGATGCTGTGAGAGCTGTGATTACTGTACGAAATGGCCCTGTCTCAGCAGAAGACAATTTTACTAGTCTTCTCTAACCTCTGGCTCTTTTTTGATGATTCCTGAGCCTTGCCAAGAGGGTATACGTGTCCCATTTGTGGCTGAGCTCTCCACAGACACTTAACTCTGCACTTTTTGACTACTTGTGAGTTTCTACACTAATATCCAGGCACTCACTGCACAAAGAAACTTCTGCCATGTCTGAGAGCTGCACTAATCCATGGGTATAGTGATAGGAATTTAGAAGGCAATACACTATTATGTCCACTTAGCAAAACAGTGGTAGGTCCACCTGTAGGGCCTGTGAACTCCCCAGCCATGAGTCCCTGGGCAGATTTATAATACCTGGTATGTGTTGCCTTTTTTTTTAATGCATTGACCCTTTAGCAGTAATTTACTTGAAAGAGTCTAATACCAAGGATGAAAGTATTTCCTTTAAATTTCATTTTGGGGGTCTGGAGAGATGGCTCAGCTGTTAAGAGCACTGACTGCTCTTGCAGAACACCTGATTTTGGTTTCCAGCACCTGCATGGCAGTTCACAACTGGCTGTTTCATTTCCAGCGGGTCTTGTCTGATCTCCTTGAGCTCCAGAATGAAGCTGATGTACCTGCATACATAAAATTAAATATTTTCAAATTTAAAAAAATCTCATTGCTGGAAAACAGCTTGGAACCTTATTTAATTTGGGTATGATAATAAGAATTTTTTGTGTTAAAAAATGAAAAAAATTTAAATTTAGTTACTTATAAAACTTTCTAGCTTCAAAACAATTTCTTTAGAAAATAATTGTAAATAGCGCTTACTTCTAAATACAGGTATGACTGTATACGTGATGATTTTGCAAAACCTTACTTGGGATCAACAAACTGAAATATTATAGTTGGGGAATTCTAAATTACAAGTAATGCTTCACTCCAGACCAGCTAATTTGATTATTTCCATTAAATGCATAATTACATTCAATGTCCAAAATAAAAATCTTACCTTGTTTAGTAATACTGGGTTTTAAATATATATATTCGTGATTATAACAAAGTAACACTAGGTATATATCCCTGTGATATTAGTATGTATTAAAGGTAAGGAAATAAATATAAAATATCGGAGTTCTGAGAGTTTGGGATAAAAGTGACGATAGTAATATTTCAGTTCTTCCAATGAGTAACAGAATTACCGTAATTTAGATGACTAAGGTGTTGTTTAAGGGGCCATGAAGACTGTAGTAACAGATTCTGCTTTTTTCAATTCTCTGTACTAAGGTTTATAAACCAGGAGAAAAGGTCTTTTCCAGATAGTTTAGAAGTGAGATCAATGATATGCTGACACATTTTTTTAGGGGGTGTTTCAGTCCCCACCCGTATAAGGACATTTGTTTGACATCCCGCGCTTTTTGCCCTTCGCCCTTGGCCATCTTTTCTTCCTCTCCAGAGGGAGGTCCGTGCTGCAGGGCCACGGGGGAAGAGGGTGGCGTCCTGCGGGTGCATGGCTCTCCTATTGGTGGACCCCACAAACCAGAACGAGGCAGGAGTTGGAAAAGAGGAAGCGAGGGACAGGAGGTGGAGTTAGGGGGAAGGCGGTGCTAAAAAAGCCTAACGGAATCCAGACGCCAGTGCAATTGTGCGCGCCAGGCTGCGACGGCGGCGGCGGCGGCGTCGCCGAAAGCTGTAGCTCAGCTGAGGAAGTCTTCCCCTCGGGAAGCTCCCTAATCTGTCGCCTCCGCCGCCGCCTACGCGGCGGCAGCGGCGGCGGCGGCGGCCTTGCTGGTGCCTCCCTCCTCTGCCACCTCCACCCCTGCCTGCTCACTTGCCGGTGCTGTGGAGAAGGCGGCGGCAGCTTTGGCGGCTCCACTATGGCGGCGGCGGGGAGGGGGGACAGTAGTTTTAAAGTAGACACCTGCCCTTGCCTCAGAGAAGGTGAGTTCCCGTCCCGGGACGCGAAGGCGGCCTGTTCGCCTTCGCCGCCAGTCTCCATCCGGCCTGAAACCCGGGCTGGGCGCGGTTCGACACCGCCCCACCCCCCACCTGCTGTGGCGCAGTAAAGGCCAAGCTCGCCCCGCCCCGTCCCGCCCCGCTCCGCTGGGCTTGGTCCCATCCCACCCCACCCTACCCCACCTCACCCTCCCTCATTAGGCCCTAGAGTGCCAGTGAAGCTGTGAAGGGCGTCCCCAACCTCTCCTTCCCTAAAGGCCCCCAGGCAAAGGAATGGCAGAGAGTCTTAAGGCAGGAGTTTGAGGGAAAAGAAAAATAAACAATTTTTGTCTTAGCCAGATGCTTTAGTGTGAAGTAGGACGCAGAGGCGCGATGTGGGAAGAGGAGGCAGAGCGGAAAGAAGTGCTGTGGCTCTCCAGGGCCAGGGAAAGGAAAGTGCAAAGAGGGACTGTCATAAATGTCACGGCCCCCTCCCCCCCCCCCCGTTGAAATTCAAGGGATTGCAGTGTAGAAAGTCAGTGTAGAAACTCGGTAATGAGAGATTTACAGAGAGATGGACTTAGTAATTAGTAGGTTAACATGTGTACTTGAGCTTTCAAGTAGAGTTTGTTGGATGATAGGGTCCTAGGGTCCTCTGGAGCAGTAAGGCCTGTACTGAAGAGAAACAGTTTTTGGCAGAAGCACAGATTTCAGAAAGCATTCGGAGAATTTTCTTTGGTATTTGAGGTTATGACCTAGTAAAAAGGATTTAAGGGTCCAACTTTAACATTTCTTTGGTTTCAAGTAAGTGCTGTTGTATCTGCCAACACTTACTATGCCAAACACGGAAAGATATTTCTTGATTGTTTGAATATAAGTGATCTTCACACAGACTATATATCTGTAAACAGCCTGCTATTGGACTGTGAAATTTACCATTGCAATGTGTTTTAAAGCAGTTTTGAAAATGTTCTTAAATGGTTAAGACTGATTCTGCTGCAGAAGCTCTCACATTTAATAATTACTGTAAAATATTTGCTGGATTACCTTACCTTGCTCATGTACATCCAAAGTGAAAGATTGTGAATAGAGGAAGTAATTTAAGTTCGTTTTTCATGGATAAGGACACTCATTAACATTGGCCTTATAATTTTGACACATTCATAAATTATTTACCTGTGTGTGAAATTCCATAATATTTCACACCTTTCACTTTGGTGGAATGGCAAAGCAATAAAAAAATCCCCCATAATATTTGCAACAGGCACATTATATAAATACCACCTACTAAATACAGAAATTGGGAATCCACTGTAATATGATCATGCTTTATTTATAAACACTCTTACTGAAGACAGTCTTTGAAAGACTAGTGTCATCAATCAGCCATGAATTATACCATTCTTTGGAAACTCCTGGGCTTTTAAATTGTCAAAGGGATTTTGTGATTGGTTGTTTTCCCCCCTTTTGTCTGTTTTGTTTTGAGACATAGTCCCATGTTGTTCACACTGGCCTCAAACTCACTGTGTAGCAGTGAACCAACTGATCTTTCACTCTCCACCCCCTGAGTGCTAGGATTACATGTTTGTGCCACCGTGGCTGGCTTTAACTTGGATAACAAACTTTGTTTATAATGAGAAAATAGGTGAGTGCAGTTTTGTAGGCATCAAATAAACAGTTTGGCTCTATTGATCTATTCATAGTAAAGTTTAGAAACAATATTTCATAGAAGAAATTGGCTTTTTGCCTCACTGTGTAATTGCTTTGGTTGCAGTGTCTTTGAATATATGCAAATAATAAAAGCATTGGTAAGAGACAATTTCAAGGACCTGCATGATGGCACAGTAGAAAAGGGAGCCTGCTGCCAAGCTTCAGGACCTGAGTTCATTTCAAGGAACCCCCAAGATGAAAGGAGAGAACCAACTCCTGAAAGTTGTCCTCTGACCACTCTCACTCTCTCTCTTCTTCCTTCCTCTCTCTCTCTCTCTCTCTCTCTCTCTCTCTCTCCTCCCCCCCCTCTCTCTCACACACATGCTCACACAAAATGAATAAATGTGAAAAAATAAAGGAGAAACACTATCTGAATCAGTCTGGCATAGTAAATACAGATTAAGATGCTCATGAAACCACTAGAGTTTGTGATCCTGAATTAATCCCAAATTTTTGAGATTTGGGCTTCCATTTCTGAAATAAGAGATTAGGACAAGACAAACTCTGAGATTAATTTCTGATATGAAAATATGAAGGATGATTTTGGAGTTCACAATGATAATTCTATAGCTTTGTATGAAAATGATAATTCATAAATCACAAGAAACCTTGATTATAGTTACCACTTGAGATTCCCTGTGTAGCCAAATCTGTTAAATATTGTTGAGACAGTTTGCTAGTATATGAAAAAAACAAGTGTAATTGTTACCTAAAAAGTATTTGACATTTCATTTAAGTATCCTTCGTTAACTCTGAAGATCAAACTAAAAACCCCTTATGTTTTCACATAAAATGGTAGATATTTTACATTGTAATATTCAAAACACTATTAGGCCTCAGAATCTTGTTTAGATATTTATAAAACACTATTTTTTTCTAGTTATAATGTACAAAAGACAAGGAAAATATTGCTTAGTTGTGTGCCAATGTCCTTTTTTTCTAAATATGGGTCTGAAATATGTCAGAGTATTGTCAGAACCCCAGTTATTACAAAATAACTCCTGATAAGATCATTTAAAGTGGTTTGAAAAAGTATTTACTGACCCAGGTACAATTGTAGCCGTTGTTTGCAAGGACTTTTTCTACCTTAGTAATGAGCAAATGACAGTAAAAATGAAAACTGTTATAAAGGGACTTTTAAAAGTTTTCAAAAAATTCTATTGTGATATTGAACAACAAACTTAAAATAAGCAAAAGATGTACCAAGAACATAACATGCAAAAGGACATAACACACACACACTCAATACATGGATAAAGGGAGTCAGGAGGCTTTTTAGGACACTTCATATTTCATTAAGTGGAGCTTTTTAAAAATATGACAGAATTGCTATATGTATTTGTAATATTTTTAACCCTTGCATATTTGTTTTTCTCTTAAAAACAAAACAAACGGTTCTGAATTTGCATTTTAGATTTAAAAACATTGCGGATTTCAATTTAGTTGTTAAATTGTTCCCATGGCAATTACCTTCTCCTAGCAATTACAAAGGATTTCCTTTGTCTCCCTATTGTTCAGTAAAGCTTTTATTCATGTGTCACTAAGTCCTCCATCAGAAAACCTGTAAATCTTTCCTTCATTTACTAAGTAGTCATTGAGTGCCTCTGTGTGTGTGTGTGTGTGTGAGAGAGAGAGAGAGAGAGAGAGAGAGAGAGAGAGAGGGAGGGAGAGAGAGAGAGAGAGAGAGAGAGAGAGAGAGAGAGAGAGAGAGAGAGAGAGAGAACCATACTGGCTAGCGCTGAGACCCTACAGATGAATTAGATACATCTGTAATAGGCCTGGGTGGATGACTCAGTGGTTTTAAGGACACTTATTATTCCTCCAGAGGACACAAGTTCTGTTCCATGTCAGTAGGCTCACAACTCCCTGAAACTCCAATTTCAGGGGATCTGATGCCTACTAATGCATGCACATGGCATACACTTATGCACATACACACAAATACACATAAATAAAAGAATGAAATTAAATCTCTAAGGGAACAGCTATAAAAATAACTCAGTAATTCTCTGTGATCTTAGCACTTTTGGTGTTTGCCTCAAAAGCTTAAGGCTCTGAGTTCTGTGCCTCAGAACCCATGCAAAAACATGCATAATGGTGCACACTTGCAATCTCCACATTGGAGAGGCAAATGCAGGAGGACCTCAGAGGCTTAATACCCAGTCAGTCTAGCCTAATTGGTGACCAAGCCAGGGAAAGAATGTCTCAAATGACATTCTTGAGGAAGACACCACATGCACATGCACCAGTGTACACACAGATGCATAATAACGCTCAGTAGTGTTACACAGTAAAATTCTAACACAAATCAGTGTGGAAAGTGTAGTTCTGTGCTAGTATTTCTTATAACTCTGATTCTGTGGTATGTTATATACTATAGGCACACCAAAGAATGCTATATTGTGAGTCTGATACTAGTGTTTGACAAAAATAATTAGTAAACAGGATTAAATTTCCATTTCATACATTTGGCAGATTGAAGGTGTCTAGAGTGAGCTGAATGACCATTTATTGGTATCTGTCTCCATGAATTAAATCAGTATGTGAAATAATCACTAGTCATATTCCTAGCCTGACATAAATGCTAGGATAGAACTTTAGTTATTTTCCATCTGAAACAATCTTGTACATTCATTCACATGTATTGAACTGTTAGCATATATTTAGTGGCTATCTGATACAAAGCAGCTGTCATGGAATCAAAGAAATTAAGATTACACAAAGCCTTAGCTGTATTTCTGGCTTCATAAGCATGACTCCTGAGCTCCCTAGCCATAAAGGCTTATTGTTGCAAAGGTCAAATACTCAGTGTGCATAAAGACGGCTCAAATATTAATCGTAAATATAACCTTCCCAATTATTTTAATTCTGTTTTATTTTTGTTTCTATTGGGGTGCCATGGAAAACCCTGCATTGACTGTGATGGCCTGCATAAAATTGCAAGAACTTGTCAAACCCATAGGCCAGAAGCTATTTTAATCACCTTAAATCTAAGGATGCAAAATAGCACTATAGCTATGAGCATTTGACATGCTGTCAGATACATATACATGTTTTAATAAAGTTAATATTTTTGAGTACTCTTCAAATGGAGTGTAGCCTTTAGATAGAAAGGAGTATTGAAAACATTGTGGCAAGTTTACCTTGCATCCCCATTCTGTTCTATCTCAGGACTATACTGATATATTTCCTATGACAATGAGGGTACTAAAAGAATACAAAAGTCAAGTCAACTCTTGCCAAAAAGTCCTATTTAATGAAGAATTTTTAAGGAAGATTATCTCTAAAGGTCTATT